TGTTGTTTGTGTAGAATATGATTGTACATTTATAATGATTATAAAATTTATCGTCAAAATCTATGATTCATGTGGTATGTTTTAAGGTTGCTAGTTTCTTAAATTAAGAAATGTATACATGTTTTACAATTTAAAATAAAATTTGCTTTAAAACATGGTATTCAATATTATAGGAGGATATAAAGTAGCAAAATTTTATTAACATATCTATAATTTTATAAGGTTTCAAAACTAAAAATTAAAAATAATAATTCAAATGTTACAATAAATGAACGATTAATATACACATTAACACATGATCATTAGTATTAGACATTGATCCTTGTTCAATATATCATTGAGTGTTTTTGTGAATAACATAAGCGTCAATACCTGATATAACAAGAGTTTTTTGCTATTTCATCCAAAAATATCTATATTGGCTTAATTTTTTTAAATGCATACTCAATTTTGTACAAGTAAGTGTGAAAGTAATATGTAATTTTTAGATTTTCAAATGAGAATTCATTTGAATTGGAGTATAGAAGAAAGTTCTATTCTCCTTAGAGTATAATAGGGTGAGTGATAATTAAACTAAAACCAGTGATAACTAGCCCTTCCACTTTTCATGGGATATTTCAAACAGTTGTAAAAAGTTTGAGTTGGATAATTATTATATGCATGGTGTGGTTTTCAACATAATAAATCTCATTTGTAGACCGTTATTTTATACCTTGTATGTTGTGATAAAATTGGAGGCTAGACGCTGGTTTCATACTTAAACCTATGGATATGTCCTTGAAAACCGGTTTTAGCATGCTAATGATGGAGTAGCATACACTGATAATAATTGTCTGCTTTCTCTTTCTTCTAAATATTGCTCACAGCATAGTTCTGTGTCAGGCTAGTGTCCCAGTTCCTGTACGGTATGTGTACTGCACACCGATGGGGCCCTAGAGTTCCGGTACTGTACGGTACGGGGCTTGGGGCTAGGCTGGTCATAGTCCTGTAAGACAACAACAACAGCATACAGTACATGCAGCCCCCCATTGGACAGTAGGCGTAGAGAGCATAACCCCGTACTCCTTTACGGTAGATTTTCCGTCCTCTCCCCCTCTCTCTCTCTCTGTGTGTTCTGTGCTCGATTTGTCCCATTGGAGAAGCAAATGTTCGCAACTGAATAGTGTTTGAATATTCTGCATCTGTCTGGCCTGAGATTCAGAGGATCGAAGGATTTTTCTGAAGCGCAGGCGACGGCAAAAAGGAATTTGTATTTATTCGGTGGATGGATGCATTACTTTTGGGCCTACAGTTTGGGCTCGAGCAGATCGCCAAAAGCTGCTGGGGCGAAATAATTTGGCTCTGGGAACAGTGGCACATCCGCATCATGTACGCGTATCTCTTTGCCTCCTGCCAAACATTCGAAGATCCGAAGATACATATAAAAGTACATTTGAGCAACTTGCGAGCAGAGATACGGTCTCCTGCTGAAGCTGAAGATTTTATAATATCTTTTAATCCGGAGGAGACATTTGCACGAGTATGAGACATTTGCTTGAATCGACCTCAGGGCAACACACGAGATGGGATCTCTCGGGTGTGAGTTTACGTCCGGAATGTTTGGTCTATTCATTCTCCAAGCCAAATAAAGGTTCTCAGGTGTGAAATTATATGCGGAATGTTTTCTCCGTTCATTTCTTCCACTGAGTGAGAGGTTTTCCGTCCTATGTCACAAGCTGAAGTGCAAGGCAACCATCAAAACAATAGTTGGAGACAATGAAAAAATAGATCAACTTTTTCCGAGACTACTCCGCAGACTCACGCAGTGGAATGTTGAGGCATTTTCTTCAATATTTTTGTTATTAAATTCTGAGAGATTTTCATGTCCCACGCCTATTTCATCGATAAATGATCACTAATATGAGAAATTTACCAGATATGGAAAAGATGATTCCAAAGGAAAAGATGAATGGTATTGACTTACATAAAGCCAAATTCCGTCATATCTTTATACAGCCATATCACACACATACTTAGTCTGAGGAGGCCTTTCAGCAATATTGTGTGGAGTTTATTTATGGAATTAGAGATACATGTTTTTGGCACATTTGAAGCTAGTCAGGTACTGACTTCTTCTCAGTACGTAACTTCTACAATTTTCAAAAATATTCCATCTATCTTCTGTATCTTACGGAGCTTGCTAAGTATGGGATATCAGTTTTCCAGACAAGAGTTCAAGGCTTGATTCCATATCTGCAAGGAAGACAACGAAGAGATCCACTGCAGAAGATTTTCAATTCTTATAATTCTTTCGAACAAAAGTTATGCTGATCTTCAATCAGAAGACACTTCAAACAGCCCGAGGGTTTAACAATGTGAAGCATTAACTTTATTTCAGATCTCCATTTAATGAAGTTAGATGTGAATGATGTTGATAAAATGCAGTGACAAAAAAGTTCACTGCAGAGCATGCAAAAAGTGCAAATCAATAAAATCGAGGGTTTGCTCGATAATTCAATCCATGTGAAGGAGCATGCATGCAGGATCAGGCAGTGAGTCATGATGACAGATGATGGTTGTCGCAAAACCGCCCGGAGGCTTCGAGTTTCAAGGCTTAAGCCAACATCAGTACGCATGTCTGTATCTGTCATTGGTGTATGCACGAATATATATCGAGAGCTCAATTTATTCATCACCGTACCTTGGAGATCAGTCGAGTCCGTGTGATTCGAATCGAGCGAAGAGAAACAAACAGACGGCAATTCGAAAATTCCTCTGCGTGCATAATACAAAATAGAGGATATTATTGACTGGTCAATGCATGATACATGCAGGGGCATTAATGGCCATCGGTTACCTGATTAAAGTGGAGGGCTCTAACATGAATGCATGCATTGCCCAATTCAAGTCCGAAATCTCCTCGACGATGCGCAGATCGAAGTCAAAGGCTGAAGTGTGGGTGAGTGTAGTGGCAGAGTTCAGAGTTCAGAGTGCAAGCCAAGGACCTCGGATAATAGAGCAAAAGATTTTATCCAAACCGCACCGAAAGGCTAACGACAGCACAGTCGATTCTGGAACTAATGATGTCCAGTGGTTAAGATCTTTGAACGGAGAGCAGTCGAGGCGAAGCAATGATTTTTTGGCATTTACTGCTGGACCCCCAGTCTGAGGCGCAGCGTCGTGTTCCAGATTATCTTCAGTGTCGATACCACGGGCCGACGTTATTGGAACCCCCCGTCCCAATTAATCCAACAACGGTTCCCCACCTCCGGGTGGGTGGGTAGCTGACCGGAATAGAACCGGGAAGGGAAAAGCCGGCGCATCGGTCGTCCTCCCGGAGTGGAATCAACTCATCTCGACGAGCGACATTCCGGTGGCCGTGGGGAAGATTCGGAATCGACGGGGCAGCGCCGGGAAGCGAAGCGTTGGAGGATCGACGGCGGGCGGGCGGCGGAGGCGCCCGAGCTAGCCCTGTTGGGGGGTGGGGAGGGGCGGGGGCTACAAGAAGCTGGGAGGCGCCCCGGGGGACGGGGTTGCGATTCGTGGGGATGTATAGATATTATGATGCAGGCGCGAGAGCGGACGGAGAGGCGCGAGCCACGTGGCGGGGGGAAACAGTGGGACGGAAAGCTAGAATCCGTCCTGTCCTGTAAGTGGAAATGGGAAATAGAATTGTCTAGATAGAAAGAGGATGGATGTCAGTCGTACGACACGGACCGATGTTTTGTTCTGTGGCGCAGAAGCGTGTCAGGCGCCATGGGGGCTCACATGCCACCAAAACACCAAGCACCCAAATCTTTTTGGCCCCGGGGTGGGGGGGGGGAGGGGGGGCTGGGGAAGGGGAAGGGGGGGTGAGGAGGGCTTACGGAAATGGTTCATATATTCTCGTAATGTCATGTCATGTCAGGGCTAGAGGGGGGCGTAGGGAACAAATGGGAATTTGTCGAAAGGGGGATGGGGGCGGAGTCACGGACACGTCGGACGGGGGATGGCAGATCTGACGGGGGAAAAGGAGCGGAAGCGGATGGGAGAGACGCGGCGAGTGGCACCCATGTGAGGCGCGCGTGGGAGCAGGACACTTGGCGAGGGTGGGTGGAATGCCACTTGGTAAAGGGCGCCACGTGAGCGGCAGGCCCGGCCGCCATTGGGCCGGAACCGCGAAGTGAATATCTTCGTGCGGATGCGATGAGGCTGCGAAATTTGGCCGCAGCCAATGCGCGGCCGCCTTCAAATCGCGCGATTGCTGTGGCTATCCGCCCCGCGCCTCGCTCGGTCCGCCGGTCCCTCGGACCGGAGGCGCCTGCCACACCAGCCCAGGCCCAGGCCCAGGCCCCGCAGGAGGACACCGAGGGCCGCGGGGAAAGTCATTCCTTCGCTTCCCCCCACCCCCAGCCCCCACCTCTCTGGCCGATCGCCCCAAGGCCGGAAGCCAAAGACGAGCAAGAGAGGGAGACAAGGTCCATCAATGGGGGCTGCGGCGGCCGCGCCTGCTACGGGCCTACGCAGCGCAGTAGAGATGCTGAGTGCCATTGTGGCCCGTTATTTCGGCCTGTGCCGGCCCGGGGCTGGGGCTGGGGCTGTTGCTGGGCCAAGGGCCAGGTCCCTGCTCCAGGAGTCCTGGGCTCGGAGGCCTCGCTCGAGCTGGTCCTTGCCGGTTTCGCCTGGCTCTGTTTCCGGGAATGTGGCCGACTAAGCCCGGGGTCACGCCCGGGCCGGTGCGCCGGCTAGCTCCCCTCTGCTGCTTTTGCATGTCCCGAGTCACCCCCCAGCCCCAGCCCCACCCTCACCCCGGACGAGGACTGTTCTGAGGGAGGGACTACCGGAACCCCGAGCGGGGATTGGAAAGGGGGTCGGCCAGGTTCATGAGCGCAGGGGGCAAAAGTGAAAGCGAGGGGAAGTCGGGAGGGCGAGAGGGTGGGTCCCAGAGCGGGGCTGGGACTGGGACTGGGCCTGGGCTTCAGGAGCAGGAGCAGCGGCTGCCTGTTTGTTGTCCTCTTTAAAGCATTCTCGCTCAACGATATCGCCTTTCTTTCTTAGTTCGCTGGAGCTGTTCTTCTCAGCCATGGGCACGACCCAGGTCCGAAGGGGCCCCGGACGAGGCCGAGCTCGAGCTCGAGCAGCAGAACGCAAGAACGAGGACCCCAGGGGAGGCAGCTCATGCACACCAGCTGCTTCCTCGCTCTCACCTTCTTCGAGCCAGTGAAGCGAGGTGAACTCATCCATCATCGCTCGCTCGCTCGCGAGCACTTTTGATGCACTGACTGCTCGCCTCGCAAACAACCAAGCCCAGGCCCATCTCGCCGAAGCGAGGCGAAGCAATTTGGGCTGAGGGCGCGAGCCGTGGGCGAATGAGTGTTCATGATCCTATATTTGGCAGCGCATCCGCATCCGGACCATCGCTTTGACCTGGCGCTTGTCGTGTCTTTGCATAGTCGCACGTGATCTTGATCCGCGAGCGAGAGCGCGAGAGAGCGAGTGAGCGAGTTTTCAAGAACGCAGTTAGTGGTCGCCGTTCGTGTGGCTATCCCTTGTCTGTGCAGTAAATTCCTCTGATCCGTTCCATGTTAGAATGTGGTAGTTATTGACCCGGCGGGCGCCGCTGCATAAGAGTCCCCTCCGAGATCCTGCTCTCGCTCTCCTTGGCTGCGGCCGCTGCCATGCCCAACTCCCTTGGCAGGACCTTTCGGTAAAATTCCCAGCGTCGTCACCACTCATTGCCACCCGAAATTTTCTGGATGCTGCAGCAGATAGAGAGGCGCATACGCATGTCGTGTTGATTCGATGGATTCAGATCCAGCTCCGCCATTGCGCTGCCTCGGATCATTCCGCCCTGGACGGCCCGCCGTCTGTGGATTATCGTGCACTTTATGCTGGGACAATGCGGCTTGCGACGGATGAGGCTCGTCGGGTCCGTGCTGCTCTGAGGGCACGCCCGCGCGCGCCTGATTATCCGACAGTCGCCTCTCGGGTTTTACCCCTCTCGACCAATCACTCATCCAATTAAGCCCACCCCCCTCTTGGAATTTGTTGCCCCCTTGCCTCTCCTCTCTAATCCCCTCCCCTCGTCCCCACCTCGTCGCTCCTGCCCCTCCCCCTGCCCCTCCCCCCGTCACTGCCTAACCGACTCACTCACTCGCTCTACGAGATCCCGCGGAAATTCTCGCTGCTCGCTCTCGCTTTACCCCTCCCGCTCCCCCTGCCACTACCCCTACCCCTCCCCCAGCCTCTCTGCCCCCTCGCTACCCCCTCCGCGCCTGAACGCAGATCTCTTCGGAAGCCCGGGAAATGCGCGCAGCGTAGGACGTCGGCCTGCAGGCGTTGGGCGGGGGGCGGGGGTTAGCTTAGCACAAGCCCGGACCAGCGAGCGCTAGCGGAGGGAGGGGAGTGTCGAATTATCGGCGGGGGGAGGGCGAGGGGATCTTTTCGATTCGGAGGATGGGGCGTCGGGCGATGAGCGATCCGAAGCGACGAGGCGAATGGCGAAATCCGGCGGCGCTGTGAGAGTTCCATGGAGCAGGGAGGCCCGGACGCAGCCGCCAGTGGCGTTTCGTCGAGCGTCGATGGATTGGATATGGGAGCTGCCGGCAGTTTGCGCCACTCGTCGCTCGGGCTCGGATCGTCGGCTGCGCCCGTCGAGTAATTCGTCGTGCTCCCTCCATGACTCAAGGCTCGTCCAGAAGTAGCTATTGCAACGACTAGCTGCGCCTGCTGCACCGATGCGCCGATGGCGAGCGTCGCGAGCATGACTGCCGCGCTCTCTGTGTCCGCGGGCAAGTAGCCGAACCAGGAAATGGCAGGCAACCGAACGATTTTCTCTCAGTTCCCCGAGGAGATCTTGGGAAAGGTACTGCCTGCCTCCTCATCCGTGCTCCCCTTCTTGCCCAACTGCGTGCCGATGCGCCGGATTCTGAGCCGACCAATTCGCGAGCTCCGATCGGTCGGCGACGAAGAATCGATCGCGGGATCGGGCCTGACGCCGAATTCCTCCCGGCAAGCTTCGCATTCTCTGCTGAGATGAGCAATTTTTGGAAGAAAATCTCCTCCGTGCACTGCAATGTGAGGCCGGAGGCCGGACTAATCGTCCGCAGCATTTCTGGCGCACTCGTGGCAGAGAATCTCTGCTTCTTGCACTGCCTAATCTGACGCCCCCGGAGCCCAATCTGCGCTCTCAACCAGATCACTGAATGGCATTTTCCATGTGGCTGTGTAGGTCTTCAGCCAGCTGAGTATGGAGGATTTGGTACACGCAACTGCTGTATGCAAAGCTTGGCAGCAGGTCGCTTCTTCGGAAACTCTGTGGGAGTTAATTTGTCGACGTCGCTGGCGTCTGTGGATGAGACCGTCCGCAGACGCTTCTGCTGGCACCAGTCAGCTCAAGGGTTGTTACTGGCGAAGTATGTGCCAGCAAAGAGTGGAGCTTGATACTCTCGCGCGAAGTCTGGTCGCGGACATGGCCTGGCCGCTCAAAAGACATTGTTGCTTGAGACAGCTCGTGAGTCTAGGTGATTATGTCGTTGAGGTATCTCTTAACCTCTGAACTGGCCACCTGTCCATTCAAGTGCATTTGGAATCGAATGATTCAATTCCCTGTATGAGGCTGATCCATCGGCTTTCGTCGGAGTACTCGAGCTTTCATTCAGAGATGCAAGATCAAATGCGTGCACACTCAGTCCCCCTCGCCCACTGCGAATTGATCACGGGATTGATTCAATCGTTGAGCGTCGATCACAGCCTAAGAGCAGGGCCATGAAACCATAGGGAAGCTCTAATGATGGAAATAATGTCAGAGAAAAGGATTGATCCTATAACACCGCGTAACCCCTTCTGTGTTGATTGCATACATGTCTTCAGGAGCTGGAAAAGCTGTCCTCTCAACAAGGCACCCTTCTCGAAGGCATCCGCTATTTTGCCTCGGTTGCCCTAGAGCGCATCAACCAGAGTAACTGTGTCAAAGCGATGCAGGAACTTCTGAAGACTCCTCTGCCGAAGGTATTAGCCATGGATGGGGGATGATCCCAGTTTTACGATTCTCTCGGAGAGTAGTTTTTGCGAGGGATTTTGAGTTCATCCGGTCTTGTTGATCGTAGCATTCTTTACAGACGCCATCGCAAGTTTTGTTGCAGCTTCGTGAAATGCAGTGTGTGTTTATTTTTGTAGCTCGAAGACTGTCTTGCGAGGGGAGCTTTGATCATAGCGAAACTCAGGTACCTTGCCATGTGCATGAATTTCCCTCTTGATGGCCGTCACCTTTCTTGTGCGCAGTTGCTCTGTTCAGATTCTTTACGCCCACTGATTGTCTTAGTCGCCGTTTCAAATTACTGATTGAACACCTCAGTCTCGTGCTCACACTGTGGTAGTTTATGCTCATCAGGTATCAGGATTTGGACATAGAAGCCATTGAATCTAAACTCGATGACTGGAAAGAGATTCTGTTGGAGCGCCTTCGAAACGATCCAGAGTAAGACAAACAGCAGGTCTCCTTCCTGTCATTGTATACCTCATTATTCGCTAGGCAATGAAGTGCTTCAAGTCTTGAGCTGAGAATCAGCTCTTCTCAGCTTTTCTCTATTCATTCACCCACATAATATGAATCTATTCTCAGGTTTACACGACAGGGTGGTCTGGAAACTTCCGGCGGTACTTTGGCGGGATTGAAGCAACTCAATGTCCTGATATTTGGAAAAGTAAGGTGCCCCACTCAGGGTGAAGAAACTGTTTTGCATGGCCACCATGTCGATGATGTACTTCAAGACAGTCAGGAGAGACAGAATCTGAACTTGAGGGCGAGCAGAGAGGACTATTACAATCCATCTTATTATTACCTCAACGAGGTGTTGGACTCAAGAAAGGGTGTTGAAACAAGGTATGTTCCACTGGCGTCATTCTCACCGTCGACTTTGCTCTCCCAGCCCTGTTTTGAATCTGTTCGGGGGTCGCTTCGTCGAATCTTCAGCGCTGACATTGTTCTTCTCTTTTCCAGTGTGGCAATTATTCACTCTGCCATAGGCCGGAGATGTCAAATACCTGTCCAGATGGTGGCGATTCCCATGCATTATGTGACGAAGGTTGGAGAAGAAGAAAGTGCAGATGAGCGTTTCGTCAATGTATCGGATTCCGGTCGCCTTCTTCAACGTAGCGAATGCATTGACCTCATTCAGTAGGTACCAGGTACCTTAGTGAACCATTGATAGAGGTGTCATCATTTTACTTACCCCGATGAAGTGTCTAAGCAACTCTGTGTATAATGGTTGGTTGGATGACGTAGCACACATTCAGTGTACATCCCACCACACCTTCTCACACCTATTAAGAACACTAGAATGTTCACCTTACTTCTCAAACTAGAACCGAGCTTACAGTGCCAGGATTGACTAACCATGTTCATCATATGAACCAGGTCCATGGGGCTCGAATACGAGCCTAAAATGCTTGCTCCAGTTCCTCCTTCCAGTGTCTTCATTGCGATATGTGACAACCTTATCGCAATTTACTCGCAGGCAAGTCTGAACGACCGGATTGTCATGTGTGTGTAAACGCTTTCGAGTTGTGCCCAGTCCCTTGCCACTCATGGATCTAAAAGTGTGCAATTTGGAAGTAATGAACACATCATCTGTTTCACTACCGATTATTGGTTATCTCAGCTTACCAAGTATATACTAGTTAGATTCCAGGTTCTGTCACATCCTTTAATCACAAATTTGGGGAAAATGCTGGTTGAACTTTTACAAGAGGGACAATAATTGAATTGTCTGATAGAACCTCGTGTAATCATATCTGGGAATGACCTCTGTAGGGAGATGGAGACCAGGATGCCAGGAGACAACCTAAAGAGCGTCAAAGGATGCTTTTACCTCTCTTGGATCTTTTGCTGGCAATTAAACCAGACGACTGTTCAAATCGATTCAACAGAGTTAAGGTTGGTGTTAACCCAAGAGCGTCCGTAGCTTTACGTATTTCATGTCTAGGTTGATTTCTTGTTTTCTGTCTCTTACTTCACAGAGGTTTTCAGTAAGTACACCATATCATAAACAATAATTCGAAAACTCAAAGCAACGTTGTTAAGCACGCTTGCGTACAGCTCGGTAGTGAGAAGTGGGATGAGCTTACCTTCTAGTTTACCATGAGTTCGGCGCTCTTGTGAATTTACTTGTTTCATCTATACTCAGGTTTTGTTGGAAATGTCGGACTTCGAAGCTGCAATTAAAGACTTGGAGGTGAGGAGACTCAAGAAATCTTCACTACTTTAACTGCCAGTTTGTCTAAAATTAGGTGAAAAACTTAGACATCTGGTTGGATAGAAATGAGTCGTCTGGATTTATCAAATCTGTAGGCATCTGTAGAATTTTGAAGTTTCCCTGACAGACGATTTCGGACGAGCAGGAACTACTGAGGCTGACGGATAAAGCCGGAATGAACGCTGAGGATGGTATCTCAAGGGCTCTTCTGCAACAATATCTGCAAAACGCCAAGGAAAAACGAGAATTTCATGCAGTAAGCATTCTAGAGTGACCCAAGTCCATAGAAGTTTACCTGTTTCTAGGAGAAAAACCGTAAATGGGATCAGGTCGTTAGCTTGCTGTTAGATCTGACTGCACCTTGATGAGTATTCTTCAAAAGCTTTGGGCAACCAACTCGAAAGCAGACTGGCGGAAGCATCCTGCCATTTCTGAGGCTTGCTACTACTATGCGTTACGGTAGTTTTCCCTGCATCGCAGTATGCAATGTTCATCGGCACGTATATTTTGTTGGCAGGCTTGGAGCAGTGCTCGGAGAACCCCACGACCTCATGATGTATTGTACAAGATTGGGACTATTGTGACCCACGTGCGGCTGCAGTACCCTGGAGTTATTTTTGGATGGGACAGGGAATTTTCCCTTGATGAAGAGTGGATCACTGTTATGAAGGTTTGATACGAAATTTTTAACTTTCAAATTTGAGCGAGCCATTCGTTACAAAGTACAGAACCTCTGTTGGCTAGGACACTCGAGACATCCGTTGCATCCAGTTTCAATGTTTCCTCAAATCGCAGCATATGTTTGACATACTACCAGCGTGTCTCAGGTTGATCAATTACAATACGGTCGGAGCCAACCATTCTACCGGGTGCTTGTTGATCAGAACTTCCGTAGTACTTCCACTTACGGTACAAGCTCTCTTCGCTACCCCCGATTGCCAGCTCATGGCCAGTTACCGTGTGCACAGTTGACGAATAACCAGTACAAAGATACCAATTCTGACTCGTAAATGTTGGAGCTTGCAGTTGCGCAGGAGAACATCATGTTAGCACCTGGTAGTGGACCCTTAGTGCATGAAGAGCTTGGTATGCACTTCATAGGTTACAGGTACGTCGAACTTCACCCAACTTTCAAACCTGTTCCGCTTGATTGTGAAAATCGTGAAAGTATTCCTTCGTTGTTGGACGATGATGGTACTGACCTTCACCGTCAGCAGTCACCGTCCAACAGAATATCATAGATCTTGGTTTTGACAACACATTTATGTTTCGTGCAATCTTTGTTTTTAGCTCAGAGACTAGAATGATGGTTTGAAGAAGACAGTTTTCCTCTTCTGATATGTATTCTGTTCCTTACAGAGACGGGATGTACATCCCGAATGAACATTTGTGCTATTTGTATCCAGAAGATGTTGTTGAGCAAGAGGATGAGTCACAGCTGCGAGATCAAACTGAGATAGATAAAACATGGGCATATGACCTCAACAAGCACGCACCGACTTCTACATCTCATTCAGAGGTAGAAGCTGGCCCGTCTGAGTTCTTACCTAGTCTATCACAGGAATCTGAACGAGCGGCTCCAAAACCACCGGAGCAGCCGAAAGGTTAGGAAATCACCAGTTCAACTCGGTCAACCATACTGCTGCTGTGGAAATCATGACGGTGATCTCGAAAGTAGAGCGAGAAGTGTTTTCCTTTCTTCTCCGAAACACTGGAAAGTGTTGTCGAAGGCAGTGCGGCATTGTGGAAACGACGATTTTTTCCATCTCTTCTCGGCGTTGTCAGTGTGAGATAACTTCTGTTAGGCACTTCCCGATGTTTCCAAGTATTCAACGCCCTTGAAACTGGAAAGCGATGCTTGGATCAAGTGCACTGTTCAGTGCCTAGTGTACGTCGCAGCAAACCTTCCGATGCTGTAAAAGCAGAGTCCGGGCAGCCAGCAGCATGCTAGCATTCATGGTTTCATTGGCTTCAGTGAGGTGAGAGTTATGCAACTGTCAGACCGTAAGAATTAAACTGTTGAATCATGCCCAGGTGGCGAGGCACGAAGGTGAATTGCGCATCAAAGATCCGAGTATTTGCTATCGCAGATAATCCTTAATCCCTGCTATCATCCTGTGTGGAACTTCGGTGGTTTTAAGGATCAACGTATTGTTCTTACCTTGACATGAGCGAATGATGAAGTGCAGAGGTTAAGTTACCCTACCAAAGTTTTCGACTGAAAGATAACTGTGGGATAATTGAACAACAATTGCTCATCCTTTGTATCTTTGAATTCCTAATTCTCTTCAAGGTGTACTTTATTCATGTGGTTACGAAAGTGAATAAATTATTGATCCCAGATTTTCGCGCCTCTACGAAGAAGAAAATAACGCTCTCAACCCTGCCACAGCAAGCTCGTGCCCTTAGTCGAAACATATTTCAGCGGATGCCATCGAAGGGTTTAGCCTCTCCAAAGGATGCGAGTGTTTTGCACCAATTGGATTGAACTTTCTGTCAAAGATCTGTTGCTCAGCTGTGAATGAAGTCCGCCTGCGGATTCTGAAGTGTACAAGCACGCAAAGGATGATGTAGTGTGAGTGAAGTGTGAAGTCTTCGAGATCGAATCAGCTGAACGAGAACGATACGTAAGTGCTTGAAAGTACAACGTCGACCAAGAGCAATCGACAGCCTAGTAGCCCTGGCCACAACATTGCTATAGTGTAGATAATATTGTGCAGTAATTCGCAGACTTAGTTATCGACTGGCATGTATCACTTCTTCTCACCTCCAACGGCTGAATGTGTCACCTTTCTTGTGGTCAAGTCAATGAAGCTTCTTATCAGGTCCAGGAACGAGTCAGCGCTGTAAGTAATTCTAGATAAGATATTATTAAATGGTAAATGAGATAGCGAGTCATATACCTCACCATATGAATACTGTGGACCACTTGGAGCAATTTAGAATGTGCAAACGCGTATAGCTGTCGAGCAAAACCGGAAGGAAGAAAGTTTGGTGAAAAGGGGAAGTCTACCTTTGTACAGAAATGTGAAGCTTTCGAATTCAAGCAATTTCCATCTGTCTACTGTCAATGACATGAAATGAAATGAAATGAAATGATATGAACCAATAACCTCTCAACTTCACCATTGCAATCCACCAATGACCTTACTCTGTAGAATATACACCAAAGAAGCAAGCACTGTTGCAAAATTATTTGTGATAACAATTGCTTAACGGACTAATCAGCATATGTTGGAAATCCACACGTCTCATGGGGAAACTTGTGATTTTAATGCTGTTTGACTAGCTTGAAGTGAGTACCACTGGCAACGAGACACCAACCAACTTCGACAAATTCAATCTTCATTTTTGATGCGATCGAGGCACAATCAAGCTTCTTCCTTTGGTTGTGGCTAGTCTGCTGCATGAGAATGCTCATGACACAATTACATTGATTCGTTCCTTTTAAACACTATGTGTTGTTGAGCATCATGGATTCAATATCATTTTCAACTATCATGTGGATCATATTGCATGTACTCTATGCACTTTGATGAACATTGTGGGTTTGTCGATTATATTATTCATTTATCATTAACATAAGGTAGTTTTTATCCTGAATTTTATAAGCTATTTATATCAACAAATGTTAGGGACAATTGATTTGAGAGTAACACATCTTAAACACACATTTCGCAGTAAAAGTTTCACCTTCCACAAATGGGTAGATTTTCCACACACATGGTAACACATCACTCATGGTAACATCTTCATATATTTGAACAAATCTTGTCTGTCAATTCAATCATAAGTTCATGCATGATGTCTTTTACAATATACAATATAGTGATTTAATAACAATGATATAAACATCCTTCCTAAAACTAGCACACTCAAAATGTTGAGTACAATCACCTCCGTGAAACTACAGAATTTACATCTTTAAATTTGATATCAAAATTTAAACTTTCTGGTCATTTATCTAGTCAAAATTATTTTGTTTACAATGATTAAAAGAAGAAAGCTAATATAATGTTGATTTAGATCATCAAATATATTCATTTATCTAGTCAGGTTTATTCTTTCTAGGGTTTTCATAAAAAAGAAACTCATAGAAAATTGATCAAGATGATTTTGATACAAAAGATATATGTATGCGTAAATTTACTCAAAATTACAATACAAACATCCACTACACAGATTGAAATGATCTGGATTCAGGTTAGTGAGGCTAGGTTCATGAAAACACAAATATGCTATTGAACAACAGAAAATATATGTTATAGATTGCTAGTATAAGCAATCTTATATAAGAACACGCAAATCGGACAAATTAAGCATGAGTAAGCTACCTAGAGTTAACCAATATATACATTAGCCTCCAACCATATTCTTCTTGACTTATGTCTTGGGGATTAAAATTTTCATAACCTTATAATGCAGAAATTCTAAAAGAAATCCAAACATAGATCCCTTTATAAACTATAATAATCCATAGCCTACAAAAATAAAATAAGATCATATGTAGATATAACATAAGTGATAGTCTTCTCAGCTTCTACTCATATGCAAAATTTGCTAAGAATCACGATGTGTTAAAAACCTAACTAAAAGCTTTTACATTCATAATATAATACTTTGACTATCGCAATAAAGATTAAAAAAATCATATGTTAATCTTTTCTCTATGACAACCTTCTCTAACCAGATTGCTTTCTTCTTTGTCTCCATCATCGCTACATCATTAGCTTTCGTAATAAATTAAGCTTCACATTTTTGCAATATAGATTTTGAAGTTATGCATTCATCTTTATATGAAAACTTACATCTAGATTTTGTTTCATGCTGATCTTGTACAAATTCAGTATCTACCTATCCAATGAATGATTTGACATTGTCCAATTTTGCTTCGAACAAAAGATTAAATATTAACCTAGGTTTGAAATATCAAAGAACCACTTTCCAATTTTCCAATATATAAACTAGTTTTGGTTGTAACAAATGTCAAACCTAGTGCAATTTGTTGAAGTACATAAAACTTTCATTTTTTGTTGTAAAGAATCTTGTACATATAGTGTTTGAAAGACAAATAACAAGTGATAAATGACTTTAAATGATAACATGAAGAATCACTCATAGCTGTGCATTTTTCCACGTTGAGCATGTTTTCATCTTTCTTGCATATTTGCGTTAAATTAAACTTAGTTTTTCATCATCTAAGTTTCTTCGATTTTCATCCTTAGAATACTTTTTGCTGCATCATGATACTTTATTCCAAACTTAGAGCACAAAGCTTTCTTGAGCTCTGAGTTTAGAAAGCTTTGTGATTATTAATATCAGATATGTTCTAGCTACAATGAACATGTTATCTACATTAAAAACTATAATAATGAAGGTTAAAAATTTATTACTTATATTTTCCATGTGGACACAAGCATCAAATACATTGTTAATGAATTTTTCTAAATTTATAACATCTTCAAACTGTTTGTTACTTTTTTTAAGTAACTTGCTCTTATATATACAAAAATGTTAGCAATTTGGAATTCATATATTTTTGGTTTTTTTCACAAAGTCCATAGAAAATCATTTGATCTAAGATAAGATCGAATAAAGTCAAAGGCATACACAACAAGAATATAGTAATATATTGAAAAACTAGAAAGTAGCTTTTGTTGTATATCATACTTGCTTGAATTTTTTGGCCACCTACATCCCTTTGTGGATTGTTGTTTAGTTTGTTAAACGACTTACCGTCCACCAATTATACAATTCCAAGTCTTGATGTTATAAATGATTGCATCTTCACTTTTTTTGCTACATTTGCATAAGATTTATCCAACAAAATTGGATCTCACTTTATGAAGAAAGTTGAACTTCTTCCAAACTCAGAGCCATACCACCATCATCATGGCAAAAAAATATCATTGCCTCGAAATTAAGTTAAACGCTATTTGTCAAAATTTTTAGAAGCACATATAGAATATTAAACGTAATTATGATTGATGATTCCGCTTGATCTGTGATGTGTACAGGTTTGCCAATTTCCTCACGTTATTGAACTTCCTAAACTTGAAAAATTCTCCCTTGAAAATACATTTTCTTGTGCTTCATCATAATGAATCTCCCCCTCAATAATAATTGGAGGAAATTTTTTCTTGTCGATTTAAGAATATTGAGCTGGACTCACCAGAAATAATAATACAAAAACAACATCATGATCAAGAAAGAGCAAACTGTACGAAAATTGAGGAAGTTGAAATACAAAGAATTAATGATTCAAGGCACGAATTTTTTTTTAAGAGGTTGTGGTATCAAGTAAATCCAAAGAATATACGAGAATTGTGATGTATGTGAGAAAACCAAACCTTCTTGTTGAATCCAAAATTCATGTTTGGAGTTAATAGACCAAAACTTGTACCAAAGGAGTTTAAAAGGTTGTCCACAGTTCAGATCCATAAATGGAGTTAAGGAATCTATCAAGGGATCCATCGAGAGAATTGCATCCAAAGAATGTATAGTACCAAGAATTCTTTGAGGTCCACGAGACAAGAATGTCTGACTCATATCACTCATCTTGCACTTTTCAAGTTTATTCTTGCTACAACCTGGCAGATTGAACAATGACTTTAACTTCAGTAGTAATCTCTGTTTGCTGTTCTCACAAACCAACTATTATTTATGAGAGCGTCATACATCGATACTGAACGTGTTGGATGCATTTGCAAATGAAGTTTCAGGACCAAGCCATCACTTTCTCGCTCGAATCCGCTTGATGTAAAATTTTAGTCTGAGGTCTTATGTGATAACGTTCGACTTGTATTGTGTGTAAGCGCAGGGCTGTGGGCTACTATGCTGAACCATTTGGGTCAAATCTGTGTTAGAGCTCTGTCAGACTAGGGAAGTTTGGAACAGAAGCACTTCCTTCTAGTCTGACCTTGTGGGGAGAAGGATGTTTGCGTATAAAAGAGCAAGCGCTATTGTAAAAACAGCCTGAACATTCATGCAAGTCCTCTAGAAGTTCATAAAGAGGGAAAAATTTACAATTCACCTTCAAACCTTTTTTATTAACCTCCTGCATCAAAGCACCCTCTACTATTGATCTAATGGAGTAAACTATAAAAGAATCAATTCTAAGTTTGTGCACTCTCTCATTTGCGCACTTTGGTTACGATGTTATCGTGGTATCCTACAAACACCTAACAATCAGTCTAGCCCCCACTAAATCACCAAGTACAATCGACATGATTCACTATGTCCGAAAATGAGTAACTAGGTCAGCACAGACTGCTTAAGGTATGACGAACAATATGGAGCTTTGCTCTATATTTGACATAAGAATAAAGGCTAACACCGATGTACAGTCTAAAGAGCGATCTACTCTAACTTCTTCGAAAGTTTCCCACGACTATCCAGAACACGGATAATCTGCTGCTCTTCAAGGAAGGAAAACATCCAGGGAGGAAGTGTCCGCTGCAAGTTCTTGTATTGAGTTCTAACCTTCTCAGCCTTGGGAATATGTACTGAGCGAGTGCGACCAAGGGCAGTTTCGATTTGTTTCAGCATGCCTTTGATCAAATGCCTAGCTTTTGCTTTACTCGGTGTAAGACTTTTAAACTCGTCTTTCAAAAGAATCAGTCCACCGGTAAGTTCGACTACAAAGGACTCGATTTCAAATATTGTCATGAATCCACGTGTATTCACAGCCCTCTTGAACTCCTGCACAAGGATTTGTCCATGTGGTAAAGTGTGCCGTTGACACACCCAATCTGACCTAAGGTCAAGGTAAAAAGCCAAACCTATAACCTGCACATTGCTCAAACCTTGAAGTTATTTCGATAGCAAAGCGATTTCTTCGGTTAGAGGAAGAGATCTGACGTATGTGCAAGTAACAACATCCAAATGCATTTGTGCCCTTCCACATAGACGAACCAGGAATTTGGAATAAAGTAGTTGAAAACATACCTGTGAGAAAGCGACACCCGATGATGAGAAAGCTGGTATATCTGAAGCCGGGTGTCCTGTAAATCTGAACAATAAGTCTAGCCTAAACTGGATGGGCAGTGACATAATCATTCCTGCTATCATATACCCCAGTGAAATGTTCTTCCCATCTAAAATTATGGGATGTCCAGTGTGAGCTCTTTGCATAGTGGGCACAGTGCTTGGATTGGTAATCAGCCCACCAATTGCTGTTGAGATCCCTGAGTAGATATCAGGGGCATCTTGCGTGGTCAAAAGTGGAGAACAAGCGAGTAGATCAACTCCAGCTGGGTCCTCGTTCATTTTGACAGGAATAGTCTTTGTGTTAAAAAGCGCAGGTAATGTTTCCCGATATAGCATAAGTGGTATACTCTTAATACCATCGCCCTTCATTGGAGCCACAAGCAGTGTGTAGTCTGGTGATTTGTCGATCGCCCTAAGCTTTCTTTGCAAACTAGACGCCTTGAGAACGGCTCGTTTAAGAGCTTCCTCGTTCGATGTGCTGTAACAAGATGATATGCAGCTCAACGTTGTGACATCCTTTACTTTCTCCCCACTGTTCCAGTCGACCATCTCTCGGGCGACTTCTTTATACGTTGGTCCGACAAAGATGGCTGTAAGAGAATGACAGTGCCAATCTAATTAGGTAACTAACGAGATCAAAGCTTGTTCACCTTTCTGTCTTCAAAAAAAATACCAGACATTCTTCTACGTCAAGCTAGGTCACTACAAGTCTTGATAGCCGTATGGTTACCTTTTGTAAGAGCATAAGCTAAATTCTATAACCTCAACACATTCCTTCAAAGAGTCAAGTGAGGACGCGCCCGTTACCTGCAGCATTGTCAATGCCTCTGACACCACCGAGGGCAGATATATGCGGAGGAAGCACATCCCGTACCCAGTGTGTTAGAGAATTGAAGTTATCTTCCTGCAGATGGGTGAATATAACAAGACGGTGTTTGCCTAGCCACGGAACATCTTCCATCGAATATGTGCGATACCAGCTAATATCCCAAAACACATATTTTAGGCCCAGAAACGCAAGAATACCCTTCCAGAGTTTGTACGCTCCGGGCCTGAAATCTGTGTCTGTGAGAAGGACGGCATCAATATCTGCACCTCCATAGACAGGAATAACACGAGATTCCACATGCCTGCCAGTATAAACTATCAAAACGTTAGATCCATTTTGATGTCCTGATGAATGATAACAAGGTTCCATTCTTGTCACCATACACAAAAGCGAACGCCTAGACCATGAAGGTTCAGCCAAAAGAACAACAGATACACTCACAACCACTTGGCAGGTTGGCTGTGCTTACGTTTACTCACCTAAATTCGATGCTTTGAGTATTCAACAGTAAATGCGTTTGAAGAGAGAGAATCGAATATGGTTGAGCATTTGTATCAATACGGAAGTCCACTTCGACCTTTTGATCTCGTCCTGCACCACTTTCTGGCACTTCACGTCTCCAAGTATGATCAATCCTCTCACCACCCTCCAGTTCAATAAACAGCAGGACCAATAGAGTTACACCTCCGGACTGGCTGTAAAGATTTTGACGGATATCGTTAGCTCTAAGGTATCCGTCCCTTAGTTAGAACGACAGAATTCCTAGGATGTTTTTTACAAAAATTTGATAAGCTGAAGGTCCGAATCTTTAGACTCAATCACAATCTAATTGAATTCTATAATGACAAATTCTCAGAACTGTGAGTTCACCATATGAAAAGCAAACAGGAAACCAAATTTTACTCATGCATTAACTCTTTTCATCATGTGAACTATGTCGATATTGTCTGTGAGTAAAAGACATACGTGGTGCTTCGACCACCATAGGTGCGGGTAGAGATATTTTGCACATTGACTTTCACGAACACTGTGCCCCCTTGGTGCACGGTGTGGGGAAACTGCACATCATCGGCGATGCGAATCGGATATTGCACAGGAATCTGCTTCAAAATTTCAGTACTGACAGTCAGTTACAAATTATTCATGGCAGACTGACGGACTGATGACGAAGTTTTTGACAACAGAATGCTGCCAAAGAAATCAGATTTACAAGGCTAAAGTAACACACACCTCCATGACTTGGTCAGCAACAGGGAAAGTTCTTCCTCCAAGTTCAAGATACGGAGCTATGGAAACAAGTGCTTGAAAGGGAGCCCCGCCTGCTGGACCGTCAAGCTTTTCCAACGAAATTGAAAAAGTAGAGTGACATTTGTAACGCTTATTCTTGGCAAGTTCTGGTAAGATCTCCACTTTGTTCACGCCCTTGCCACTAGTCAATACACCTCCTGTGGCAGCGAAGGAGAGTCGAGTACCCGCTGGCAAAGTCATTCCCCCGTTATTACAGACCGTCACCTTCATAAACGATCAAACAAAGCGTCGTGTCATTTTCACGGTCCACAGTTTCTACTGCAATACGACGATGAATATACATTAATGGCATGATCGTAATCCACACCATAGCAAACCTAGAGCTGAGTGCAAACACGTCACATTTAAACTGAATTTATCAAAAGCTTGAACTTGGCGATGCTGACCTTATCAATGGTGATGATGCTACCGGGAGAGATAATTCCATTGCCTGACGTGGACCTGACTCTGTATTGACATACAGCACAATTGTAGCGGGATTTCCCTTTTTCGATGATTTCGCCTGAAGCTGACTTCAGGATCCAAGTGACCTGCGATTTACATAAGCACTGGTGAAACAATTGTCTTCAACTATTGTCATTCGTTCCTTCGACAACAAAGAATACTTGTCAAGAGCGGGAAGAGTTCACTCGACCTTGCTGTGCTCACCTGTCCATCTTTGGCGTCCTTCCCATTAACAGCAGGTGAGCCTGGGTTTCCTGCAGTTGCGTTCTTTGGACCAATAAGACCTCCTGCACGACCTGAGGCTCCATCCCGACCTGGCCCACAACCATAGTAATATTTTGTTTTGCGATACTTTGGCAGATACAATTTGTCCCAAGGAGGCCCTCCTGTTCCTCCGCGTCCAGCAATACCTCCACTTCCCGCTTTTCCACCTTCACCTCCATTGCCTGGACAGATAGTGGAAGTTAAGGGTGCCGACTCTTAGGTTAGTGGTTGTAGCAGGCCTACCGAAAATGTACTGGAGACTATGTTTGATGCTAATACTCACCGACCGGACGGTGTTTAGATAAAGAGGGCTTTATTTCTTGAGATGTGTGGAATACTAGCAATCTTCTTACTTCCAATTTTCAATGAATTCGTATGACAATCTGCAAAAATCTTGGAACAGGAGCCCATTGAGATTTGGCATGTTACTGCTACCAGAACCGCTTTAAGGTAGGGACAATATTACAAGCAGGGCCGAGGCTAGAAGGTCAAGTACTTCACGGAGAAAGAAGTAGTGCAGGAGCTGCTTCCTGGTACTCAGATTCACCTGAAGCGAGGAGATACTGGTTGACGAGTAAGGATGTTCGTGAGCTCCCACGTCATCAATAATTGGAAGTGCTAAAAGCTGTGGTCTTAGGAGCCTGGTACACAGCATAGAAGGTAAGGCTGGTGGTCCACCATCTAGCCCCATGATTTTCAATCAGTGATTTTACTTACTGTACTGCAAGTACATCTAAGGTTCAAAGTATCTCCACGCTTGCCTGTTGGATGCTTCGTTGGAGACCGTCAAAAGTCCTGCTCATTGTTGCTCACTATCAATTGTCCACTCTTTCCTCAAAAATATGCAAAGAAAAGTACAGTACCAGGTCTGCCTGCCGTTCCATGCGTGCCAGCTCGTGTATCTGCCTCCACTAGCATCAGTAGTTCGGGATTCGTGGTCTCAATTGTAACTTGACCTCCTGATCCTGCATTGCCACCTTTGCCTGCTGAGCCTCCATCATTTCCTGGACCTCCTGCCATCCCAGCACCTCCGTCGCCTCCCCTTCCTCCATTCTCTCCACTGAGTCCAGGTTTCATACCCTTCCTTCCATCACCACCGTTTCCTCCATTGCCACCGTTGCCACCATCACCTCCACAGCCTCCATTTCCTCCATCACCACCGTTACCACCACGACCGCCATGTGCATCTATAAGAATTACGCCTGTCTTCGAAAGAAACTGGATTCTTCCACCGAGTTCATCGTCGGCTATCACCGGAGACAATTCCCTGCTTGACTAACAGGGAGTATGAGATTGCCATTTTTCCAACTTCTGTTCTTATCAGCACTTCGGAATCTTAATAACTTACTTGTTCTTACATTGTATCCCTCATAAACAACCTCGTCCTTTACAAGTAGAAATCATCTACCGTATGAGCCACCGCTTACGAGAGTACTAGCAACATGGAACGACACAAACTCAAAGTGATTGATGACTTGATTAACATCGTGAGCTTACCGATCACTTTCTTTCCTCGTTCCCGATAAAGAGGGACCTTGGATTCTATGCGCGTCAATTCGGCGTTCGAGAGACAAACGTTCTCTGATCAGAACGGTTGACAAAATTCTATTCTCCTCTGCTGCCGATTCAGGTGCGTCTGTTTGTTTCTCAACTCGCTCCAAATGACCTGTGACGACGAGACCTTGAGGTCCTTCCCCATCGAGGCGCAGGTAAACGTTCATCGCACGTCCGCCGGCCGTGCCATTTGTGGCTTTCTTCCCTTTCTTGCCAGCTGTTCCTGCCTTACCATCTTTCCCCGATCGTCCTGGCTTTCCCGGCCGTCCGGGTCCATAACCGTCCTGAAATTGAAACATTCACGATAATTTGTCGACTGTTGTCTCTGACAAAAGACTCTTGAAAAGTAGTGAGTAAAATTCAGACAACTGGTTCGGAGAGAAAAGCTATGCTCATCTTCATCCCTGAGAACATTGTAGAAATGTCTAAGTTCGAGGAATGGATGAGCGTAATCTAAACACACCGTTTTTTTTTAATCCAGATTTGGCCACATGGATACACTGATCATTGAATTCAAGCAAAAATTCGACTTCATTGCTTGAGAAATTCAAGCAGGGAGATTACCTTCCCATGTTGACCGTCAGCTCCTCGGGAACCAGGCATTCCATGTTCACCGTTCGATCCATCTAAACCAGGAATTCCCGCCGCGTTTATCACAAATTCAGGCAAGCTTGAAATTGCACGCATTCCTTGAGATTGCTGTTTCGCAAGTTCTTGGATCCCATTTTGTGACCCGTCAAGGTTGAATGTGTACCCTTGTAACGCGGGGACACCAAATTCGCCTTCCCCTGCAGAGTGGAAATATTTCTTCAGAGGAGCCCCTTGAAGTTTCTCTCATTCTAACAGGTTGTAAGTGCGTAAAGGTGTCCTGATTGAAACGTAGGCCAGAATTGCGACAGAAAACGCCTGCTTTCACCCGACTAGACATGATATGGAACAAAGGTAGAACGTCTTGTAGGATCTACGACAAATTTTCGTGCACTTTCCAGTTTTGACGACGTTACTGCTTTGTTCGGATTTGAGCGGCATGAGTGCAGGCTAGCTTAATCGATAGCAAGGATAGAGAAAATGTTGTGAAACAGTTCAAGCACGTGGAACACCGTGATTAGATTTGTTCATCGTTTGTTATGTAGGAACACACATACGGCTACTATTCGCAGGTTGAGGAAAGGAATATGCACCATTGGAGCTGGAAGGGTCAAAGTTGATAATCGAGCTCTTCTGCTCCTCGACTGCAGATGTATCAGCACCTTCACTACTCCGGATCATCGTTCGATTACCAGGCTTTCCCCACTATCCCAGACTTGTGTCGCAACTACTATGTTTCAGTCCTTCACTTCAGTACCCATGCACAATTCATTGCTTCTGTGGCGACTCTGAACAATCTGTGTAAACATTTCCTCACACAGCTCAAAGATGTGTGCGCTCAGCTCGCTAACGACCCGAAAGAGTTTCCTCTCGACGGTAGATGCTCCGGCGCCTGAGGCATACAGATGATCTATTATCCCGAAACTTCCGACTGCAAAACTCCTGGCAGCCAGCTATCATCCTTGGGAAACACAGATCAATACGTCATCAATCAGCACTCTGATCTCTTCGTTCCTGCCTATTCAACTACGCATGATGCTCACACATTCCTGCCGAAGAAAATACTACCGCCGTAGATCATCAGCTCAGACCACTTGTTGAGAACCCATCACCATCCCCGGGAAATTCCTCCGCACGATCTCGACACACCGCTTACACTAGACTCTATTTCTGCGTGGGCGTACTATTTCTCTCCCCAAGTTCGCAGGACTAGCCTGTTCATGGAAATAGCATTTCAGATTGCTGGGGCCCGCCTCGACTCCTCCTGCTTATCCTTGCGCTGGCTTTCACTTCGCTCTGGGATCTGTTCTCCTCTCCGTCGCCCTTGAAACGACTACATGCATGGCACATCACCAGCGACTGTACATTCTTTCCTGAGGTATCAAAGGGGGCGCACCGCTTATACTTTCTTCACCAACACTCACTCGTACAATTGTCACCTACATTCCTCTTTCTGCAAACATTTCGAAGCTTTGAGTATTCCTGCAGCCTTCTTTCACAATTCGGCCCTCACTATCAGACACCGGACGCCGAGCTTTATTCCCTCGCTTACAGTCCGCAGCGTCATCCTTTTCTGTTCCATGCGAGACTCGCACGACACCTGGGCAAGTTGGCCGCCCTGCACGGAATCCTCCGCCCTCCCCACTCGCGCAACCAAGAAGACCATATTCTTCTTGACCCCAGAAACGCAGAAATTCCTTCCGTCAGTCAATCACGCACACGTCCCCAGCTCTCGAGTCCGATCGCATCCAAATGCAAATCAAAATCAATCAAACACAGTACGTCAACCCGCCATTGCTCCCAATTCCCAATTCCTCAGAGCGAGCATGAGCATGAGCATGCGCATCCGCTCGGCTCCGGCAGCGGCAGAGCGGACAGGCGCATCTAATTCCGGAGGCGACATGCTCCGCGACCATTTCTTGGAGGAGCGCGGCGCCCATGGCCAGCCTGCCCGCCCGCCCGCCCGCCCTCGCCCGCCAGCTCTCGAGCATCAATGCGCACATCGGAGAATATGGTCGTGGACTCGGTGGGCCCCACGCGGCCCTGCCCTGCCCTGCCCTGCCCTGGCGCAGGCCTCGTGCGCGCCTGGCAGCGCCTCTCTGCCTCCCTCCCTTCCCTTGCCTTGCCTTCCCTTCCCTTTCGCCCTCCGGACGCCAGACGCATGTGCGCAACCCCCGCCCGCCGCTTTGCTGCACATTCCTTAAAATAAACCTTAAAATCTCGTGGAAACTGGGCTTCTGATCGAATTAATCATCTCGTTGTGGCTGGCCATGGAACGAGATTGTGATTTCTTAATCAGGTCATGTCGGAGTTTCTCTTTGATTTAGGTTTATCATGTTTATGTCTTAGATATGATGATCACTTCCTAGCGAGGCTGATTATTCATCTTCGCCTTTAACAGTAAGTAGTGCTTTAAGGACGTGTAGATATTTGTCAACCACATGACAAATTAGCCAAGTTTGTGATCATTTGCCACATCATTCAAAGTGTCAATTGACATGCTTTGAGCTAATATTATTTAATATGCATTATCAAAAAATGCAAGATAAAGTTCCATCTGAATGTCTATTTTTTGAATATATCTTTTAAATCATCAATTGGTTTGATATAAGTAAAAAAAATTCTTATAAAATCATTAATAATCTATAGGTTTTAAAAAAACTATGATTTTTCGAAAATATGGTCTGCAAAATTTAATTGCAACCTTGATATGATAGCAAGCTATTTTGTGGAAGTTCAAAGAGGCTAGCTAGCGACGATTTTTCGTTTTAGCCTGATCGAGCCGGCGCCAAGAAGCGCGCGCAGCGAATCGGCCCGTACGCGCACTTCGCCGGCCGAGAAAGAAGGGTCATGTTACAAAACTATGTCATTTGGAAATAATATTTTTATTTAATACGTAAATAATTTTGTGAAAATAATTTTTTTCTATTTATATAATACTTTACTCATGAGTATTTGGTGCTCAGTTGTTACTTGTAGCGCATTTCGTCTGTCTTTTGTGCTGGACGGGACGCGACTCAACAGGTCCCTGCGTCTCACCATCGTTATCTTCTCAGATTTAGGGGTACCTTTAAAGTTAGCTAGATCCACTCAGGTGAGCATAAACCGTAAGATAACTACCGCTACTGTATTTATTAACTTTTTATATCATACTATCTAATGTAATGTATAGAACTGATGTTTACTTGATGCTATGTTGAAATTAGAATATTTCATGTGAAGTAAAACTTGCATGATATTTTGATGAAGCTAGATCGTAGCTTTGTGTTTTTTATATGAATTTATTCCTACAAAACTTGAGATGTTACTCTCATATTTAAGAAATATTACCTTGTGCTTTGATCTTCATCTCATAAAAAGATTCACCACGTGGAGAGACCTCAAATTCTGCAAAAATATGAATATGATGTGTACGGTAGTGAATAGTCAAAGAGACTCGAAGTTTTATTTTATGAAGATTGAGTAATATTCGCTATATCTTTAGAAAAAAACCTACAAAGATCAATTAATTTTTCACCATTTGACCTAGCGAAGTTTTGATTGTTCTTTAATAACATACGGAACAAGGATTCCATAAACTATATGGATTATTGGACAAGCTTAAAACATCCAAAGTCATTGTGTTCTCCATGTTTCTTGGAAAACGATATATGTATATGTGTGTGTTTTGAACAACTAATTCATTTTTTCATTGTGATGCAGTGAGGCCAGCCAGACATATATATATATATATATATATATATATATATATGGACAAGAAAATATGAATTCAATGAAAGGTGCAACATCTGGCTGGCCTCACTGCATCACAATGAAAAAATGAATTAGTTGTTCAAAACTCTGATCATATATCATGTTTTCAGTATTACACATAATATCCATGATTTCATAAGATTCAAACAAAGTTTAACAATCCAACTTACCTCCTTGCTTTCCTCGGGAGAGAAAAATTGATATTCAAGTACTTGTTGACTACAAAATCTACTAAAATAGAGTAGGAAATATATTCTATTCTTCACCTTCCAAAGATTCTTTTGAATCAAACATGAACCGTCAGCAAAAGAGCTTGATTGCCAATAAAAGCATTTGAAGTTGCAAATTTGAGCAACGACATAAGAGAATCTTTACCAATCAGAGTATCGACCGACCCACAACCCTTCCTCTGCTCTCAGAAAAGGATGAAAAGGGGCTAACGCCTGCTTTTCATTCTTTTGGATCTTTGTACGGTTTGATGGGTATTCACAATTTCATTTTCTACAACTCTTGGACCCCTTCCTAAAAGTATGGAGTGCTGAGTAACAAATAGACTTTTTCAAATGACAATACCTGAAGATGCATCAGCTCTGTCTATGGTACAGGGGCATCCAATTTCCAGCAGTACCGTCATGTGTATGCCGTAGTTGCGTGGTGGTAGTTACCAGAGTCCGTCGACGGAATTAATACATCAGTTGGACTCCATTACGTCACTTGTTGATTACGTACTGGACTCATGTTCATTTCCACGTTGGTCACTTGAAGTACTCCAGAAGAAAGAAAGGAGAAATGAGTACGACCACCACATTGTAACCATCACGGAGCTCCACATTGTCAACTTAGCCGATTCTGCTCCGATCCGAAGCTTTACCAGTTTCGTATGTGAAATCTCGTTTGTGCTACGTGCTGAAACGGTTGCAAATTCTGTCGAGATGACATTTGTCTGCTTGACCCCGACTCCATTCCGTGAAATTTGCCCAGCAGTCCAAGGCATCTGAATTTCTGTGCAAGCGTTGTCCATGAACGACGCGACAAACTCACTGTCAGCTTTCCTGTCACGACTGTCGTGTACAGCTTGGTGTACCGGACCAGCCACGGTCCGTCCAGCATCAGGTTACTTGGATGTGACGCACTTTCGCTGTCCTATGTCGTGCAGGTTCTGGAAACGAGCTTCGACACCCGGACTTCCACTGCAGACGGGGCGCTCGCATGCCTCTTTGCAAATCTTCATACGTCAGTCTCGTTGCATTGTGGGGAAAGAATACATGGTCAAGTGCTTGGTGAGTCCATTGCAAACTTAAACCTCCCAATAGTGTCACCTTTCATGAGTGACATCCTCTCATTAGTTACGTAAATTTCCAAAACCATTAGCTTGTAATTTGTAAATCTGCTCAATAAGAATAGTACTACACTATTGCCCATATTGACATGATACTATCCAATAATGACAAATTTAAGTGTAATTTTGGAGTTAAAATTCCTATCATGATCACAATACATAGCTGTGAGAAAGAAAATGTGACATTAGTTTATTTGAAGGTATATCCCGACAATACACTTTTTTTGATCTTCAGTATTATACTTTGCTACATATGTCATCATCGATTGTTTCACTCAGATTTTTGTGTACTAATCCAAATTTAAACACAATTATCGTGCCTACGTGAATCGTTGTGAACAATACAGAATTAAAAGTGAAGTCGAATTTGAAAAAAAAAACCACATTTATAGAATGTCTAAATATGGGATGTAATGTAGGATACAAAGTCTATACAATTTTTTTTATAAATTACACCTCACAATAGTGACATCCAACCTTAACAACCATGTATGTTACTATTGGGATGTTATATTCAAGGTTATGCACTTCCTTTTGTGAATGACATCTCCCAATAGTAAGGTAAAAATCTAACACCAATATATGTCACTATTGGGAGACTTAAATATGTATGTATATGTATATAGCTCAAGCATATATATATCACATGAGATATATAATCAAGTTTCAATTTCTAAGTGTGACATGGAAGGTGTGAAAGTGTTGATAGATGTAACTCTTTAAGCATTTTTCTTATTCTCTAGCTTCTAAAAGCTAGAGATTAGTAACAAAATAAAAAATAAAAAATAAATTGAAGTAGTCTTGGATTGACATCACATAATATACACTAACATAAGTGTATATTATGTGATGTCAATCCAAGACTACTTCAATGTTAGGAGTATGGTCTCCTTATACATTTGCCACTTGCCAAGGGTGTAATACATAGAAATATTATAATACTGCTATATATCTAGATGACACCATGGTTGTATATATGAAAATGAGATACATTGGTGAAAAAAGGATCGGTAAGATTATTTGGTTTTTTGGGTGTAAAAACTAAAAATCTCTGATGGCATTATTCAAAAAGTTCTCGCCCTTTCAAGCAACCTGCTGGACAGCAGGGGGCCGGCATACCTATGATATTGTAGCCACGGCAGTAGCCATGTGAAGGGGCAGTCGGAACAAGTTGTCCGAAATCTCAGGGATGCTTTCGTCTCGGCTAACGGCTAGCCGGCTAAATTTTTTGTTTGCCGGCTAGCCGATAAATATGGCCAACGCTATCCGAGGCCGGAAAGAACTGAAAACTTGTACCGAGTTTATGTTTTCGGCCGATTATCTTTTCCGATTCGGCCGAAATTGTCCAATAAACACTTATTTCGGTCGATAGCGGATTACCCGACGGCTAGCCGACTAAATTTGAGGCCCTAGGCGGCTAGCCGGAAGTTAGCGGGCTACGTGACCATGCCTAGGAACAAGTCTCAACGACCGTCTTTGCTGGGCCTTTCTGATCCGGAGGTGGCAGCAGAGATTGACTCAAACAGAGTCGGAGACAGTAGCAAATCCGGTACGTGGATTCAGCTCTGAGAGTCCCAGACTGACGCTCCGGTAGATTTGGTCTGTACAAGAAGTAAATACAGGGAGATCATCAAATCGCTCGAGGACTCAAGTGTCGTAGAGAATATGAACGGCAGGTACTGTAAATAGTGTAACGGAAAGGCTCGAGGACAAACAGATTTCATGGGAGCGATCGAAGAAAAATGGTGAAACTCGCTGAAGAGTAGTAACCCCAGATACGTGCACGGAATCAGCCTATCAGAATGGACTTCGGAAGGTTTAGAGTGCTGCCCTTCTCTGCTAGCTTAACTCCATAGCTAATCT